GAGAGACAAAAATTGTTTATTTTCTTCTCATAAGATTCTGAGAATTTTTTCAGAATTTTTTAATACCATATTTTTTCAGGTAAAAATAAGAAAATGCAGTACTAAAAAGTTGATAAAAATTTCTGAAAAAATTCTTGGAGCTTTACGGGAAGAAAATAAATAAAAAATTTCTCGGTAAATAAATAAAAAAGTCTCGGTGGTTTAAAGGCTTAGGACGCTCGCATGGAATGCAAGAGATCCGGGTTCGACTCCCGGCCGAGGCATTATTTTTCGCAATAAGTTTATTACAGTTTTTAAGTTGGGAAATTTGGGGAGATTATTAATATTTTCAGATTTGATTGCGTTGAAAGTCCGACAACCATATCGGCACGCAATTATATTATAATTTCTGAAATTAATTCATTTTAAATGAATTTACAATAGTTTAACATCTTAACGTTCTGACCGTTATGGCGCTTCTTAATTTAAAGCATTATGTTTAACATTAGCGGTCTTTCAATCTTATTATTGTTAAAATAAAAAGTTATTTATTTTCTTCCCGTAATAGGGGGAGGGGGGGGTGAGAGTCGAAGGTCAGAGTTATCTAAGCTATGTAAAGCAGCGAAATAATTACTAACTTTAACTGTTAATAATTTTTTAACGAATGACGATCGACGGCTAAAACCTGGTGGAGGTCACTCAGGGTCACGACCTTGACAATATATATCAAGGTCAAGGTCATTGGAGGCTCCTTTTTTCTTAACTTTTACCCTTTTCTTCTCAGTTTAGTCCATTCTACCCCTATGCGAAAGATTTTTCATTACTTTCGAAACACTCTGTACAATTATATATAATTAGTTATAAAATATATCCATAAACATAACATCTTTTCCCAAGATATGCAAAGTTCTATTGCGCCACGATAAGTTACAAAGCATACATTAAACAAAATAAATATTTTGTTTACTTATTAGACAACTAGTTCATGCATAGCAATGTGATTTTACATAAATAATCTTAAATTCATAATGTACTAATACGAAAAAGTTGAAATCTTTGTCATTCAATTAAGATTATATTTTAATATACCTACCTTCGTTACGGCACAGAAAAAAAGGTCTATTGTTCATTAAAACAATTTATGATACCGCCAACAAATTTATCGAATCATTTTTAAACATGATTTACAATAATTACAAGCTATTAAACGCATTAAGAATTTTTAAGTTTTCCAAGGGTAGTTTTTCGTAATTAAAGGTGCCTTCCGACGCATGAATTCGATCGGGTATTTTTTATTTGTTGCCTGGCATGCAGATGTACTGTAGCTCTGTGCAAAAGGAGAAATGGGCCAAATCATTTTCGGCTTTGGGAGAATTTTTTTAAGTTTTCCAAGAATAGTTTTTCGCCATTGAGGGTACCGTCCGACGCATGTATTCGATCGGTTTTCTATTGGTTGTCTGGCATGTAAATGTAGCTCTGTGCCAAAGGAAAAACGGGCCAAATCATTTTGAAAAAATCACTCCAAGAACATTCTAAACTTCATCCAGCTCTTTTGAGCTAGGTACTTTTGAGCTAAAATAGTTAAAAAATGTGACGTGATAGAGCAATTTCATTTACAGAATCGTTTTTACACAGCACACTTTATCCGCGGAAAGGACATCTTTAGTATGTACGGACGTCTTTTGAACGTCCCCATGAATGTTCCATGAACATCCCTAGGACATCTGTGCTGTGTTGAAAATTTTTAACGACAAAAAATCTATAAAAATCATTTTATTTGGATTATCGTTTAAAATTTGTTTAATATAAGGTAGTAGGCCCACTAATTGTCACTTTAACCAAAACGCTTGACTTTACAAATTTATATCGTTCAGATTGAGAAGTGAATGATTGTTATTTTAGGTTATTTTAAATCATTTTTTTGTTATGAATAAGAACGTCACTCTAAAATTCTTATACCTACTGCCCTTATTGAGAAAATCCTTCATAAAGGTTAGAAAACACAAATGTACGAGTTATCGCCATGCCGCCATAACGGTTTGCTTAATAATCGTCACGGGTATGTCCCACTAATCGTCATATGTGTTTAGCTACCGCATACGAGAGAGAGAGAAAGAGAGAGGGAGAATGATAGAATGATTCAGATATACAAATTAATATATATATTAATATATATATTATAATTATATAAATATTTTTTTAAATATGCATATATTATAATTATATATGTTTATCGTACATATAAAGTATTTGTAATTGCACGTATATGCTGTAAGTGAATAAAATTCACTTATTTTTACAAAGAAATAAAGATAATTTTGATTATTGTTTTAGAACTATCATTATTTTATAAATTTTTAATAACTGTTAATAACTATTTCAACAGAAAATATTGTAAATACTTAATTAGTTTTTATTCGAATAGTACCCATCTCTGACCCAGTTATCGACATAGAAATGATTCAATGATCGACATCCTTTATTTGTTTGAATATCTATTTATTAATTCGACTATGCCCATGATGATTATTGGTCCGTAAAATATTTAGATAATAACAATTACTTTTTCTAATTTTGCTATTTGGATTTTGGATAAAATTATTATTTTATTTATAAGATTTTTTTCGGCTCACCTAACCTCAGTAATCGACAGGTGTGGCGATTACTCGAATGACTATGTGCTTCGATGCCTATATAACCTAACCTAACCGGTGCTCGTCACGTAAAAAAAATATAAAATTTGTATGAAACAATTTGTGATGGTACTTATACGTAAAACCGCGATTTTGATTTAAATAAAACTTGAAGCTCAATTTATCTCATGCGAGTGGTCAGTATTCCAAAATTACACGAGATGTCAAATGATGTCTCTTAACCTTACAATGAAGCATTGGATCGAAATGACGCATAGGCTCGGTTACTGCACATATTCGATTTAATCTGTAGTGAATACATATACATACTTACGAATTTCATAATGTAACACAACATTGTACATACCTTGTTGGAACCAATAAAAATATCAACCAGCCGCATAATAAACAGAACATGTTAAAATATGTCTTTAATATGTAAACATGGCGATTACTGGTATCCTGATGATTAATGGGTCAACCATCTTATATATTACTTTAGTCCAAGTTTTAATCCAAAATGTCCAACACGTACATTTTAAATATATTTTTAAAACGTTACTGTGCTGTCTGGGTTCCATATCTAGAATCTTCACATCATCCCAATCAAATGTATGATTAAATTCCAACATGTGATTTGTAATAATCGAATGTTTGGAAAAGTCTTGATTTAAGTTTTTTCTGTGCTCCGAGACTCTAGTTTTTAATTGTCTCTTAGGGCTACCGCAGACAAAATTTCTGGAACAGTAACCGTAAGGAGTTGAACTCCGACGGTCACTAGATGTCGCTGTTTTTTCAGCGCACCGCGACATGTCTTTATATGTATACTACCACACCAATATCTCACACAATCTATGATATACGCAGTCGTGCGTTCGTGACAATTTTTGTATAACAAATTCGTCACTATAAAGCGTCTAAGTCTAATTCTAAGAACTCGATGTTATTTGTTCGTGCAAACTACGTGTTTGTGGATCTATTTCGTAAGTACGGGTTGCAAAACTTTCGTATCAAGCAAATGTTGTCACACCTTGACAGCTTGAGACGCCATGTTACACTAAGAAATGGTAAAAAATATATCAATTTCGAAATTTTTCGTCGTTCTTGGCATAAACTCCATCTCACAAACATGTATTAATGCGTATATATGCTTTAATCCTGGAAAAAGATTTTCGAATCTGTGAAAGAGAAAAAAAGTATTTGTTATACAAAAATTATATGATTTAGTCGGTAATACAGGCGGCTTTAGTATCCCCTTAAGTTGATGAGCCAATCAGGATATTGCTTTAGATCTACGTAATCTAACGGAAATAGAAATAGCAGTAAATTTATCCATAAGACCAACCGATTGAAATTTGTCTTATGGTATAGATAAGTTTACTGCTATTTCTATTTCCGTTAGATTACGTAGATCTAAAGCAATATCCTGATTGGCTCATCGGCTTAAGTTTACGCCTTACGGTTACTGTTACGAAATTTTATTTACGGTAGCCCTAGTCTGACCTACATACAACATGTCGCAATTATTACATATTTTTTTTGTAAATTATGTTATTGTTATAATCATTTTGATTTCTGTCTTTGTGTCTCTTGATAAAATTATTTAATTTATTCATACATCTATATCTAACCAAGAATTTATTTTTGTCTATATAGCTGAAATAACGATTTTAGATATATTTTTTATATACGAAAACGCTATGATTTTTCTATTGTTTTTTTCTTCATTTAGATTTATTGATCTCGGATTATTGAGTTTCGTGGCAAATAGCTTTTTTAATCTAGCATTTATTTTATTAAAGATTAATTCAATCGGGTAACCGTTGTCTAGTAACGTATTAACAATAAAGTATAAATTGTTTAGATGATATACCGGGTGTGCTAACAAAATAGCTCTATTCACCAAACTAGTATATTATGCCGATTTTATGGCACAAAGGATGATTAGAGAAAAATGAGATATCTTCTTGAGAATGTTTTTTTATGAAACCAATCTAAATCAATTTTACTATCCTTTATATAATATTTAAAGAGATGTCCAAAAAATTAATGCTACGTTTTTCCTCTATCTCAACTGTGAATTGTAATTTATCGTAAAATCCATTAAAAATATCTAATATGTCATTAAGTTTCTTTTGGTGTTACTAATATATAATAATATCATCTACATATCATCCACTAATAATATTATCCATGTATCATCCACTAATAACAATATCATCCACATATCGAAAATAGAAGGGTAATTCTATTCCGATATTTGCGCGCAAAAGATTATTATACATATATATATATATTATATTGTATATAATATATAACATGTATATTTTTACATGTACAATATTAGATTTTTTTTTAAATACAAGGACTAAGAGACTTAATTTTTGTTTTGCTTTTAAAGAGTACACGTGTTCTTGTTTCTTTACTTCCGGTACTTTAAAGATTTATATGAGACAGACAAAATAATATTGTATATATCTTATTATTCTTTATCACTATTATTTGTCGTCGATCCATAATTTTTTTTTTAATACATTGAGTAACTGTTGCGTGCACTGATCGCTTAAATTTAATTAGCTCTTTGATTCTACCGTGAACTGCCATGATAATGACAGTGTCATTCAAATTAAATCACATATGATGTAATCGTGATAATATCTCTCAGTTAGACTGCTTTATATATGCTCGTTACTACAATTAAATTGAATTTGACAGTAATGCGATTCGCAAGCAAATAGCAGAAAGTAATTCGCTGATAAACCACTCGCTCTCATTTACAATTTACACAATTGCGAATTATTATTTCTTAGATGTCATTGTGATCTATGTTGTGAACTGACATTATTTCTATATTTTATCGTTTTATACAATATAGGTATGATATGATACCTCTCAGTTCATATATGAAACATATTCTCGAATATAGAATACATTTCTATGACTATTATAATATTAAAAAAAATTAATATTCGGTTATCAAATTTAAATTTTATTTATAACTCCTGAATGTTCTTTTCGAGCTCTTATAACTTTATCCTGATGTGAACCTGTGCATCATGCATTCTAATGCATTGTATATATTATGTCGCGACTCTTTCATTATATATTCCAATCGCGTAGTGTGTGTGTGTGTGTGTGTGTGTGTGTGCGTGCGTGCGTGCGTGCGTGCGTGCGTGCGTGCGTGTGTAATGAAAATCTTATTTCCCAACATTCTCGTAGCATTCATTATGTCGTACGCATTATTTTTTTTTCTCATCTTTCTTTCTCTCTTTCTTTTTCTTTTTGATTATCTTTTTTACTGCATTACTTCAGCTTATTAGAATGAAATATATATGTAAGGGAACTAATTTCGCTCCATTCCCATTACATTATTAAATATCCATCGAAGTGTGTCATGATTTCTAATAGCCTGGAAATACGATGGACATATTTAACAGATTCATTATTTTCACGTGATAGTTAAATAATTAAATATATTATTTAACAACGTGTTTTTAGCGTATTACTTTTAAGATACCTCTCAATGAGAATTGAATAATGATATCGTTTATTATATGTTAAATTTCAGTTAAAATATGAAAATTTATTTGGTATAAATAATTATTTCTTTTATTCATACGAATAAATTGAAACGCAATATTTCATGTTCGTCGCGATATCGTGATTTGACAGCATAACGGTGATGTGTACGTACAAGATAATATTATACATAAACGTTTATATATCTTGTTTTTATTTTGCCCTTTTCATCGACGATATTTCATTCTATGCTCGCTCAAAGCGAAATGCGTTTGTAATTGCGCAATCTCGATTGCACGGGTAATTTTAACTCGGAGATATAATATGTAAAATCATTTTCGGAAATGTAGCTTGCAAATAAAATTGAACGAGGCGCAATCATTACGCTTTCCGAGCGTTAAAAAGCTACAGTGTCCAAAATGTCGAAATATTAGCGTTAGCTTGAGTGAAGACGCGAAGATATTAAATTGGCGTCTGTCAGTAGCACTCCGCGTGGAATTAAATTCTTGCTATTAAATTCGGTACACTTTCATCGCAATTTCTTCGATAAGCCAATTTAACTTTTGCGAAAGATTTCTCATTAGATCTAACCCCATTATTGCCAGCGTATCTTAAAGCCATTCTTCTCGATTTATTTCCCTTCATCCCTCGCTTCATCCCTTCGCTTCGCAAAGCGATATGTGCCCTCTGTTGCGTGGAATCGAATAATCTTAGCCGATGGAAATAAAATCGGGCTAAGTGAAAATTGAGAATTGTCGTTGTAAAATTAATATATAATATGATTAGATGTATATCGTTAAAAAAAGAGAGAGGAAGAAAGAAGATGAGAGAAAATGTATAAGCAAACTATTTTCTTCGGTTACAAGAAGAGAAATACTTTCAGCTTGATATTATTGTGCATTCTATCCGGAGTACAATCTCCATTTATTAAACTTATCGTCGAACAAGATAATCGACTA